ATCTATCAGATCCACCAGATCTATCAGATCCATCAGATCTATCAGATCCATCAGAACTATCAGATCCATCAGAACTATCAGATCCATCAGAACTATCAGATCCATCAGAACTATCAGATCCACCAGATCTATCAGATCCATCAGAACTATCAGATCCATCAGAACTATCAGATCCATCAGAACTATCAGATCCATCAGAACTATTAGATCCATCAGAACTATTAGATCCATCAGAACTATTAGATCAAAACCTAGCAGACCTATCAGCTTCAATTCTTGTCCAGAAATCTTATTCTCATTGTTGCATAGTATCATACTTACTACAGTACTCTTCGTACTTTCCTGTGGTACTTTTGCCAGCATTGCTTTTTGCACCTGCTCTGTATTCAGCCCCCGGAAGTGTTTTAAAGCAATCTTGTTATCACTTTTGTAAAGAGATTTGATTGTTTAGTTCAATTCCTGGTTTAGATTTAAAAATTCTAAAAGTTAAAAATTAATCTTGTTACAGTTGGATCAGCTGGACAAATAATATAGAATTTTAATTACCAGAGTGAAACAGGTTTCAATTTTAAGATGATCCTTTAACATAATCAAAGACTAATAACTTTATGATTTTCTTTCTTCTTCACAACTACTATTTAACCACTGGAAATTTGGAGCACAATTTGGAGAACACAGCTTTGAACAGGGGAGAGGTGAGGATGACCACGCAGTGACCATTACGACTTTGGGAAAAGATGAAGAGAGGAAGAACCGGAGGAGACCCACAAAAGTCCTCCTCTTTCTCTTTCGAAATGTGTTGTAAGACACGCCTTTGTCCAGTCCGGAGGGAACCCAAAGAGTCCCAGAGTAATGGAGAGAAAGTGAATGGGAATTGAGCTATGAGTTTCAACTTTGGGTTTCCCATTGCATTCCTTTAAATTTATTAGTAATCAGGACAGAGAGGCAGGGCAGAGTTGTACTAAGCAATCATGAATTTGACTAATGAGCAAAGCAACATGAATTTAGTGAGAGGGGGGAAAATTTAACGCTTTTTCCAAAACCAGTTTCCCCGAGCCAGGCTTGATTTGACTTTACTGAAAACCTGACCTGAAAGTACCTGGGCCAAGTACCATGACCAACCATATACTTCTGGCTTTTGGCCTATGGGCCCGATTGATTTGGCTTAGTTTATGGGTCCAAGGCTCAGACTCAGGCTTAGGCGTCTCACGGCAATTCACCTATGATGGTTGGAAGAGGTCAGGTGTTCGAAGTTCTTAAGTAAAAGGCCTAAGCCCTAAGCCTGAATTTAAGCCTGACTAAGCTAAGCCTAAGCCTGAGTCTAAGCACTAAGCCTGAGTCTAAGCCTAAGCCTTTAGAACGATTATCAGACATTTGATACGCCCCTTTTTCCGGTGGCAATCTTCGAACTCAAAAGATCTTGGTCTTGACTGTTCCATTTCCATATTCTTGATATCATTAGATGCGGCAAGTCTTTCTCTATCGATTGATGCAAAAACTATTAGGTGAACCAACACTGAGATGTGGAGCTTAAAGTTGGCTTAGCAAAAGGGGCGGAGCCCAAGACCTTTTATACACTTACCCCTTCTTTTGCCATTGGTAATCTAGCTTTGACTTAAAGATCTTGGTGTTAGGCCGTCCAATTTAAGGAATTCTGAGTATTCGATACGTGCTCCGCCCCTTTGCCATTGGCAATCTAACTTTGAGCTCAAATATCTTGGTGTTGAGCCGTCCCATTGAAATGGTTGTGTTTACCAATCGACAGAAAAAGACTTGGCAGATCTAATGATACCAAGAATATTAAAATTTGACAGCCAGCACCATTATATTTAAGCTCAAGTTAGATTGCCAATGGCAAGGGCAGGACCGACAATCAAATCTTCTACAATCCTTAAGCTCCCATTGTTTTCACAAGAGTTTCTTGCAAGATCGATTCCCGTTACTCTCAAATTCTAGCATCTCTTTCTTTCTTCAAAGCTAATAAATAACTTTTTTGTGGAATATCATCCATGTTTTGCCTGCCTTTTGATCCAACATTTAAAGTGAGAGAGAGAGCACGCAATGTGTGCACAGCGTTCCCCAATCCACTTTCCCCCTTTCCCTCTTCGCATTTATGAAGTCAAAGTGCTGTAAACACGCGTTGTGGGCAACTCTCAAGCCCAATCACTCATGGCTGTAGATTCGCAAATCCTGTTAACTCGATGCGTTTACAGGATGGTTTCCCTAGGCTCCCTAGACTCCGATTCTGTGCACACTTCGAAACGATTGATCAAAGTGGGTGAATCGTTGTGATTTTTGTTGGAGATTGATCAAAATTGGGTGAATCGTTGTGATCTTAAGTCTTAAATGTGCTTATTATCTAATCGATTCAAGATTTCAACTTTTTTATATAGCTTTTCAAAGTTGAGAGCTAGAAAAGGCTAATATTGTAGTGTAGTGATTATTGATGGTTTAGATATAATCTTTATTACAGTAATAATAGTTGGTTCAGTGGTTTGAGATTGGGAGAGTAGAGACACTCCACGGCATTGGGAGAATAGAGATTGGGAGAATAGAGACACTCCACGGCACACCTCGGCAGCTCTGTACCTCGGCAGTTCGTTCACATTGCTTTTATACGGAACTCAGGCGTTGATCTCGTCTTGCACACAATGGAGTTGAACGGATAGCTCACGCGAAATCGTGCACATCTAAATCACATCTAATCACATCAATCTCGCACAATAGGCGTTCGTCCACATAGGTGCCTAGTAGCCATTTCCACGATGCTGGCCATTTCCCTGTGATCCGATCACAAGATCCGTACGACAGTAATCTTTCTTTCAATTCTTCTCCGGTTTTCTTATCTGAGAGATGGGAATCTATTAGATGAGAAGATTAAACTTGAATTAAAATGGAATCAAACTTACCGTAACGGAGGAAAATCTTCCGGTAATTATGGAAAATCTGTAGATAATGACGGTAGCTTTCCGTTTACAAAAATACATTACCCCATCAGAGCCAATTCGTTGTTTACTCTCCCAAACAAGTCACGTTGCCGTTCCACGATTTTTTAAAGGTCATCTCAACTAGTTCGTTGCTTTAAACGTGTTCTTTGTTTTGTTTATTGTAATTTTGTTCATTGTGTTTGGGGTTTTATTTGTCGAAACCTTTTGTCCATTTCATCCATTTCATCCATTTCGTCAGAATCGGAGTCTATTCCTGTCTCCGAATTCCTTTTTCGATGTCTCGCGTGCCTCTCTTTCTTCTCTATTTCTATATAGAATTCATTCCAGAGTCTGAAAGAAAAGAAGAAAAGAAGAAGAAGATGTGGGAAGAAGAGGAAGAAGAAGAGAAGAAGAGGAAGAAGAGGAAGAAGAAGAAGAAGAAGAGGGAAGAAGAAGTGAACTGTAGAGAGCGAAAGAGCGATTTTCGATGGTACCCAAGAGAAGGAAGGTGCAAAGAGTTGAACGTCACGAATGTAAATTTTCCGAGTGTTTTGAGATTGAAACCACAGGAGCTATGGCTTTGTGGTGATTTTTGAAAGAAGAATGATAATGATTCGGATTCTTTAAAGTTATTGCTATAAAGCTTGAAGGCATTGAAAAGGCATTGAAAAACAAAAACACTATCGAAAGGCTGAAACAAATGAAGAAAAGCCGACTCAAACACTTTTTACTGATTTTTAACGATGAAAATGTTCTTAATCCAGTTATATCCTTGTAATTGCTCAACTAAAACAACAAAAACTTTCCACTACAAAGTTCCAACTTATTATTAGATTCCATTTAGAGTTAGTTTACTATCTTGTTTATTATCTAGTTTATTATCTAGTTTACTATCTAGTTTGTTATCTAGTTTATTATCTAGTTTACTATCTGGTTTACTATCTAGTTTACTATCTATTAGGTTGTTCGGATATAAACGAGCTTTTGCACTGCTTAACTCATGAGGAAGCCATTTCCCGCGTCCGAATCCTCGTCTTTCCAATGGCGTCTAGGTGCTCATCAGTAGTAGGATTTGAAGATAGAAACTGTTGGTAGCAAAGCCAGTTCCACGCCGTTTGACATCGATCCGATTCGATTGCGCCCTCAAAATATCGTTGTCCAGCGCTTACGAGGTCGAGCGAGTGTTCATCATCTTAAATTATGATCCTCGAGACTTTCAGCACCATTCCAAAAGCGTTAGAGCCGGACTCAGCATCGGCTCCGGACAAAACATCATTCCCAAATGCTTTGACCAAATCTCAATGAGATTCCGTTACTGTTTTACAGAGGAATCCCAGTTTGAAGTCGTAAAGTAGGCAGACTCGAACTTGATTTGAAGTTTGAAGTATTTCAAGTCGATCATCTAAAGCAAAAAAAAAGATCTTAAAATAAGAAATTATCCGTTTAAAAGATTCTAAATAATACACAAGATAAACAGGCTTTTAAATAGAAAGACATATTTTAAAACTTTTATAAGCTTCTCTCACAACAATAAGTTTACTTGCCTTGTTTCATATCCGGACAACTTAATAGTTTACTATCTAGAGCCCTGTCTAGAACCACGAAACAGTCTACCTAGTGTTTATAAGCCAACCAATGTTTATAAACCAATAAATACCAATTTTTTTAACTATCTAGCCATTTACTGTAGAATTAAATTAGAAAAATATCAAATTAGAAAAATAGCCAAAAAAACATGTAAATTTCAGGTGAATCCGGTCCCCTTCGAGCAAAGATGCACACGTTGAATTGTTTTTCTTTGCCCGGGCATTCATCAACCATGCATCAGGTGAATGGAGAATGGAGTTGGCCAAAAGAATTCACCGTTCGCGCTAACAAAGATAAGCAAAAAGATTGGAAGGAAGCATTCGGATAGGGAAAAGTAATTTGGTGGAGTCATTGAAAGGGAGAAATCGAGAAATCGAAGAAATCCGAGAAATGAGAAATCAGAAATCAAGAAATCTCTTTTTCAGAACCCTTATGGAACTGAGAGACATTCGACTTTTTTAATCACTCACATTATTGTTCGGCGAAATGTCCCGAGTCGAAATTATATTAACCGAAGAGTTGACGGGTCAATCCCGAGGAAATGAACGAGAATTTCGGTGAGTGACGGGGGAAATTCAGAAATTCATCGGAAATTCATCGGAAAATTCATTTAGTTGAGAAAAAAGTTATGTCGGCTTTTGTCAATCAATGAGATATTCTCAATTATTATTGATGATTGATTATTGATTATTGATGATTGATGATTGACTCTTGATGATTGATTATTGATTATTGATGATTGATTATTGATGATTGATGATTGATGATTGATGATTGATTATTGATTATTGATTATTGATGATTGATGATTGATGATTGATGATTGATGATTGATGATTGATGATTGAGACTATTGATGATTGATGATTGATTATTGATTATTGATGATTGATGATTGATTATTGATTATTGATTATTGATGATTGATGATTGATTATTGATGATTGATTATTGATTATTGATTATTGATGATTGATGATTGATCTCAATTATATTGTTCCCATCTTTGTCGCAAATCCCTGATCACATCCTCAAAAAAAATGGGGCAGAAGATAAGCAGAAGATTTCCGAGCCAAAATAAGTGTCGACTGCTTTTTTTTGATCTGTGCATGATTCTCGAAGGGGAAATTCATCGGAAAATTCATTTGGTAGCAAATTTGAAAAAAAAATAAGCATAAGCAAAGAACTAGAAAACCAACCAGCCAACAACGGGACTTCAAAATCGACATTACTTTTTCCTCAACCCAATAATAGTCTAATAGTCTCTCATTTTCTCTCATAAATCTCTCATTTTCAGCAGAAGCAGTATTAAATCCCTTGATCACTTTATCCGGTATTCATCCACCACAAACGCCAGACGAATTTCGGTGAGTTTTTTTTTTTTAATATTTTGAGATAATTCTATGAGAAAAGTTCAGTGGTGCCAACCACCACTGAACTTTGAAGTATGATAAAAGAAAGCGTAACACTTGTTTCTAGAATTGAGTGAAATTGAGCACAGAAATTAACATGAAATTTCATAGAAGTATGAAATTTTGTAGATTGAATGATTGGGCGTCGAGCCACGAGTTCAGAAAGCCGACTCTCCATCATTGTACACCACTCTGTAGTATATAGATATGTACATAGATATGTACATAGACTATGTACATAGATAAAGTACATAGTCTTCTTTTTCGATTCAGTCCATAATCGAGCTTTTTCTATTTCTCTTAATTAAGTCTTACTGATTAGTTACTTGTTTACTGTTTACTGTTTACTTTAATCCATGATTTATACTGACTATGATAAGCCAGGATTAAAGAGAGAGAAAGAAAGAAAGGAGAGAAAGAAAGGAGAGAAAGAAAGGAGAGAAAGAAAGAAAACGAGAGACACAGTAAGCCGAGTTTATCCTGACTACAGTAATCCAGAATTGATCTAGAATACAGTAAACCAAGATTTATCTGGACTAAGATAGCTAAGAAGTAAGCTAAGATAAAAGCAGCTATTATCCCTCTTCCCTTCTTCCTTCTTCCCTTCTTCTTCCTTCTTCTTCCTTCTTCTTCCTTCTTCCTCTTGGATAAAGAAAGCGCCGATAGCTCAGTGATAGAGCATCTTCCCGGTAAGCAGAAGGTCAAGGGTTTGATTCCCTCTCAATTCCTAATTCTTCGTCATTTATTTCTTTATCTAAACCTCTTTAATTGTAACTGAAAAATGAAATATTCCAATTTCCTTTCAGCTTTAATCAAATCGGATCCCGAATCTCTATAGCATTTGGTTCAAATGTCAACCGTTGTTGAATAACAACAACGGATTACCGCCAATGATCGCCCACAATCACAATGAAACTCTATTGGAGCCAAGATTGCCTACTTTAAGTATTCGATATTGAGATGAAATCTGAAGACTCGTGCTTTAGAATGAGGAGATTTTACATCGATTACCGCCAACACCAGACAATGTTGGCCGGATCATGCATTCTGGTGAGTTGAGAGTAAGCATTCCGAAAGAGAAAGGTAGAGTAAGAATCCCGAGAAATTGCTCAGTGATTTACAATTAGAATTCGATCACTTTTCGATTCAGAAATTGAAAAATATTCAGATGCGACAACGTTTTGGTCACAAATGCAACAAGTGGGCCTGCTCGATGACATTGTTGACACGATGTTGGCCGAGGTGGACACAGTGAGGAATGAGACGCGAGTCCACAATATTACTCCAAGAGGTCAGTTGAATGATTCGATCGAAATCGCAAAAAATCTTCAACTTCAACTCTTTCAGTTTGTGGCACTCTGTCAAGGCTGTGTTCTGCTCTCGATCTAACAGCAAATGTGGCAGCAAGACTCCGATCGAGACATACACCGATAAATGCTAATGTATTACCGCCACCAGGTGAGTTACGATAGCTGGTTACGATAGAAGTTTACGGTAGCTAGTTACAGTAGCCGACTACGGTAGCTGATTACGGTAGTTGATTGCGGTACCTGACTACGGTAGCTGATTACGGTATCTGATTACAGTAGCTAGTTACAGTAGCCGCCTACGGGAGCTGATTACGGTATCTGATTACGGTAGCTAGTTACAGTAGCCGCCTACGGGAGCTGATTACGGTATCTGATTACGGTACCTGGCTACGGTAGCTAGTTACGGTAGCTAGTTACAGTAGCCGACTACGGTAGCTGATTACGGTAGCTGATTACGGTAGCCGCCCACGGTAGCTGATTACGGTAGCTAGTTACGGTAGCTAGTTACAGTAGCCGACTACGGGAGCTGATTACGGTAGCTAGTTACAGTAGCCGACTACGGTAGCTAGTTACGGTATCTGGTTACGGTGGCTAGTTACGGTATCTGATTACGGTAGCTAGTTACGGTAGCTAGTTAACTGGTAACTGGTAACGGTAGCTTATTCAGAAATCACGCATATTGGTGAGCGGAAACGAAGTCTTGATGAAGGGCTCATGGTGAGGCCGTTGGCTAATCAAATGATACCTGAACTGAAACGACCAAGAACACACTATCCACCCGTCATTCAATCACCATTGATTGAGGCTTTGCTGAAGGTGGGTTGCAAATGGGAAAATGCAAATTATCAAAGATCTTCAGATATTAAGCTAGGATCTAGGTTTTTAAGATCTCAAGCCAAAAATAAAATACTATAAGAGTGTGCTAGTGCAAAAGACTGCAAAAGATTCAGTCCTGTTGACTGAACACTTTTACTATAGTACTGTAAGTGCTTACAGTAAGTACAGTATAGCAAGTACAGTACAGTACAGTAAGTACAATACAGTACAGTGCCACAAGCAAGCCATCGTCTACTGTAAGAAAGGAAACTGAGTAGTACGCCAGTTGAAGGGCCACTTTTTTCTTCAAAATCACTTTTTCTAAGGTAGTTTTGTGCGCAGATTCCGAAAAACACAACGAGAACTTGGGGAAATGCGTTTTAAGCCGAGTTTCGGGGCTTCAAAGTGCCCATACAGTGTAACGAGAGGGATACACATAAAGAAAAGGTCTAAAAATGGTCTCTTAAAACATTTATTGAAGTCAAAAACTGTTCTTCTGGCATAATTTAATCTACTGATTACGTTCCTGATCAAATTGGAGCAAAATAAAAAAAATATTTTCAAATTTCGACCATGTGGTCCCCTACATGAGTCAAAATCTCAAAAAAGATTTTTTCAATTCTTTTTGGTTCTACCAGTCAATTTAAGTTAGAAAATGAAATTTAGTGGTGAAAAATTGTTTTGGCTCTAGTTTTGACCTTGAAAAATGGCCAAATAGTCGATAGCTTGGGCTTCAGATAGTGAAGTACACTATAGAAGCCATTGAAGCCCCGAAACTCGGTTTAAAACGTCTTTTCCTAAACTCTCGTTGTGTTTTTCGGAATCTGCGCCTAAAACTACCTTAGAAAAAGTGGTTTTGAAGAAAAAAGTGGCCCTTCAACTGGCGTAGTACTGAAAACTGGAAATTATAAGAACAGGGAGCTAGATCTAGAGAAGCACAAGATCTAGCTCTAGAATAAGAACAAGATCTGGATCTAGAGTAAGAACAGGAGCTAGATCTAGAGTAAGAACAAGATCTAGATCTAGAGTAAGAACAAGATCTGGATCTAGAGTAAGCACAAGATCTAGATCTAGAGCAAGAACAAGAGCTAGAGCTCCTAGTCAAATAAAAACACATTTTCTGAATCCCAGAAATTCAGGTTCAAACCACCTATCAACTCCACCAAACCCCCTTCGCCAATATGGACCTTTGCTGAAGTTCGCCTCTCAACCACCGCAATTGAACATCGGCGGCGACGCTGGATCGGCTGGACTTCCGCAGAGCACCACAATCGGTTTCCCCAATCCCAGCGTCTCTCCCCACTGGCCTTGCGCAATTGCCCACGACACTCACCGCGACGATAAATCACTCACAAATTCGTCACCCAATTGCCCAACCGGGTCTCCCAACCGCCACAATACCCTCTCAGCCAGCCGCCACGGCTACCCCAATTGCCGATACTTTGCTAAAAATACAGTAAACGGGAATTTTGATAAGCCAAAGATAAAGAAAGATAAGCCATCACTGTACTCTCCAATAAATAAATATCCCCAATAAATATTCTCCAAAAAATTCTCCAAAAAAATTCTCCAAAAAAAATTTCTCATTTGTGTAGATATTCTTTTGCAAAAGTGCCTTTTCATTTTTTTCATTTCTCGAAATTTCCTTTGTTGCCGTTGATACCTCAGAATTTCCGCTGAAATTTCCTAGTTCTAAACAAACTAGTCAGTCATAGTGTGTTGAGCTTTTGAAAATGTCACGAATAAAGCTTTACTTTTAGCATTTACACTTTGTCTTTCACATTTTCCTGTCTTTCACATTGTCTTTCAAAGTTTCTCTCTGATCTTCCGTTTCCCATATTTCGCGGGGTGTTTTTTTTTGTTTGTTTTTTTCTGTTTCTGCAAATCAATCAAAATACTTTTAATGTTTCTTTTTTGCAAAATTGCTAGAGCTTCGACGATTTTCTAGTGTTCACTTATAGAATTTTCTGTGTATTTCGAGTTTTTTCTCTCAATTGGTCTGCATAAAGCTTTGAATTTTAGTTTTAGAACATTGTAAAGTTGTTTTAGAATATTGTAAAGCTGGTTTTAAAGCATTGCAAAGTTGTTTAAAGCATTTTAAAGCTGTTTAAAGCATTGCAAAGTTGTTTTAAAGCATTTTAAAGTTGTTTTAGAACATTTTAAAGTTGGTTTTAAAGCATTGTAAAGTTATTTTAGAACATTGCAAAGCTGTTTTAGAACATTAAAGTTATTTTAGAACATTGCAAAGTTGGTTTAGAATATTGTAAAGTTGTTTTAGAACATGCAAAGTTGTTTTAGAACATTTTAAAGCATTGTAAAGCTGTTTAAAGCATTTTAAAGTTGTTTTAGAACATTATAAAGTTGTTTTAGAACATTGTAAAGTTTTGAGGTTTTAAAAACGCAGAGGAAGGAACAAGAGCCAAATTGATTAAAGATATGTGTGACCGAAGATTCCGTCATTTAGATGAATTATCGCGGACGTCCGATTAGAACATTAACGGAAGTCCGATAGAACAATCCAAAACTTATAAAGATTGAACAATAATTTAGAACATGCTTAAATTTGTTCTTAAGCGTTTTCAGAAGTTGTTCTGCATTTTTCAAAGGTGTTAAGAACAGCAAGAGAAAGAGAAAAAAATAAAACCGCTGAGAACGTTTTTAGAAAAGCTATTAAAGACATTATAAAAGCGATTGGTAAACTATATAACATTTAGTTGGATTTAAAAAGGAATATAGATGTAACAAATCGGATTTGAAAGTTTTTAGATGACGTCCGATAGATTGAATCAAAAAAGGAACAAGAGCCAAATTTGCATTTAAGTATACATTGCGAAAGTTCTGCGCACCAAAAAATCCCGCTTGACTTTTTATTAGAGGAGATTTCAGGGCATCTTTTCATACAAAAAGCATCAAAATCGGTCAAGAAGGAAAGAAAATTTCTTTAATCTCCCCAATCTCCCCAAAATGGCCGAACACAGCACTTCTATTTCGACTATTTGGGGTTATTGTAGCCAGAAACTAAAAACAGACTCGGATTCTGAGGTGCTAGCAAAAGCGGCAAACTATTTGCGCTGCGTATCAGTTGCGCCAAAATTTGGTCGATTTCTTGACCAACTTGCGGCTTGTTTTTAAGCACCTTAAACTTGTCCGATCGGAGAGTTTGAATAATATTTAGATAGCACATCAGCTTTCAGCAACTATTTGTTTCATTCAAAAGTTAGCAACAAAAACCTATCTAAAATCGGGTTGCAAGTTGGTCAAAAACTCGACCCCCCGATAACCGTAAAGGTCCGTGGATTTGTTACAGTGATTTTCATAAGCGTAAATTTGGCGCAAAAATTTTTGGCGCAACGGATTTTGGCGCAAAAAGCGCGGCGCTTTTGATATCACCCCCAAATTCCTCACCTTCGAAAACCCCTGTATGCAAAATTTCAGCCTAATCTGTCCATAAGTTATGCCAATTTTAAGTGAGACCCACCGGTGGGTCCCATTGCCGCGAATGTGTTAAGAACCAAAATCTTTTCATCACTTATTTCTTTTATTTTAGCTTATATGGGCTCTTGAATGGGCTTGCCGTTGGAACGACCAAAGTCGCACTCAACGAAAGGATTAAAGAAATTTGCTGCTGCTGCCGCCTAGGAAAGTCTAGATTGAAAATAACTAAATTTCTTCGCCCTCGAAGTTCTTTTTAGTTATTGTTTGATTCGCTGAAGATTTCTTATGCTAGTGAATTTTTCTCTTGAGTTTATTTTGTATCGTTCTTCGGGGGTGGGACAAATGCGACCTTTTTTTTGCTGGAAAAGGCCTTAGGCAAGGCCGTAGAGCTTCGAAAATATTTCCATGTAAGGGAGTCGTACGCGTAGATTCCGAATTTCGACAAATCAGGCCTCGCTGACACGTCAAATTTGGGCTAAAAGGCAAAAACTGCGGAAAAGCGTCAAGCTGCGTAGTTTTTGCCTTTTAGCCCAAATTTGACGCGTCAGCGAGGTCTGATTTGTCGAAATTCGGAATCTACGCATACGATTCCCCTCTATGAAGACATTTTTGAAGCTCTACGACCTTTCATAAGGCCTTTTCCAGCAAAAAAAAGGTCGCATTTGTCCCACCCCCCGTTCTTCTTCTTTCTATTTCCAAATTTCTATATTTCCCTCAATTTTCTTTGCATTTCTGTGGTATAAATTTCCCGAAGCTAATCAATTTATTGTACACATTCATTTTGAAGAATTGACGTTTCAAAGAAAAGCCAAATACCTATTCGAAAAGCAATTTTTGCGGAGATGAAAAGTGCGAGAATAATATGGACAACAAACTACAATTTTTGCCGAACTAAAAAGTGGCCTAATCTTTGCTTACGAGAGTAAAATCGAAATGATATTGTTTCAACTATTGTATTGTATCTGATATTATAAGCTATTAATTATTTTTTTTTCTCATGATGTCTCTTTACGACTTCTTCACCCCGGTCAGCCAATTATACGATGAAGAGCCGGAATATTTGAGGCCACAATATTCCGCGTCACCGAATTCAGCAACGAATGCGAGGTACGCAAATTTTATATACTTTACTCGTAAAGGTTAAGTAAACTAATAATTACTGGCAAAAAGGATTGTATAAAAGTATTGTAAAAGTGTATTGTGTTGTTGAAATTACCAGTTTCACATTGTTTTACCAGTATTGCTCTTTAAAATTGCTTTAATAGCCTACTTACCAGTTTTACCTTATTTTACCAGTATTGCTCTTTAATATTTCTTAACACTTTTGTTTTGGTTCGACCGAAAATCAAGAATTTCGAGAGAGAATTGGAGCTGAAAACATTGTATGTTTTTGTCTAGTGTAAATAGAAGGTTTTTAAGTTAGGTTGGTTTCTTGGATGAGGCGACGATGCGACAATATAAGGAGACAACCCGATATGAAGTCTTGGAACAAACCGGCACTGCGCATGTATGTTGAATAGATCTTTGATTATTCATTTCTTGTTTAGAATCCAATTTTTACAATCAGATGCGGCGCCGTAGGATACCGAGAAGAAGGAGTTGGACCAAATAAACGTGTCGCGAAAATCAACGCGGTTCGAGAAGTGTTGAAGAAAATCGTTGAAAATGATGACCACGAGAAGTTTTTGATTCCCGGAGAAACGAAAGAAGAACGAATGAACTTTATGTGAGAATGAAATCTTGGATATATTAGTATTTTTAGCGAAAATTTGACGGACAAATCTCTGGTAATGTCAAGCGCTCAAATAACAATCAATGAAAACTACGTGGGAGCTCTACAAGAATTGTAAGTTTATTGGAATAAGGTGCAGAATGTAATGTGTTTGATAAATTTAATTTAATTCATCAATTTTACGATTTAGATGCATGAAAAACAAAGTCAACGTGCCCGTCTACGATTTTGAAGAATTTGATGCGGACAAGGAGAAAATTTTCAAAGTTACGTGCAAGGTATTGTTTGTTTTTTGAATCTTTAAAGTTTATATTTTCAGATCAAAGGTTTCGATTATTGCGCACAAGACCGAACAAAAAAGAAGGCCAAAAATGAGGCGGCCAGACAAATGTTGGAAACTCTAAAAGAGGTAAATGTTTTTTCAACATTTCAACAACTTAAAGGTGAATATTATTAGACTATCAAAGAAATGGAAAACGATTTGCATATCGACGGTAGCGATGACCAGGAAAACGGAGAACCATTGGAGGATCAACAAGCAAAAGATGTTTGGTACCATGACGCTTAAATAAACAACGATAATTTTAGGAATCAGCGTGCGAAAACTTGGAGCAATTGTTAGAGGAGCTCAAAGCATCATGGATTGTATCTCACGAGTATAAAAACCCGAATGCTACTTCATCGAAAGGTTGTTTTCTTGTTTAAAAATAATTTGAATCTTTTTAGATTCCAAAACAGTTCTTCTCAAAATTTCGATCAAGAAGAATGAGCGAGAGATGGGAAGAAGTTTTGCTTTCAGTGGTTTTATGAAACTGAGGAACGAGCCAAGGTGAGTAACAAGCAAGATGATAGAAGTACAGGCAAAGTTTTTGCTCTTACTAAAAAGCTCACGTTTAGATGATGGCTGCCGGCCGAGCTTATGACCATATGACAAAGTACCTTAAAGAAGAAAGCAAGGAATAGGATGCTGTATGTATTTTCTTTGTGATCACCTTTTGCCAGTTTCGATATAGGCGTTTTGAACGTTCTCTCATCCCTAACCTTTAAGTATTTTCGCTATTTAAGAAAGATTTCTGATTTCTAGTGAATCATTTTGTGCATTTTGTAAATTATTTTTTTCTGTCGTATACGGTACATTGAATAAATTCCCTTGTTTCACACTCGAAAAAGAAACCAAATTGTCCAGGTTTCAAGTGAAATTAATTGATTTATTTTCTATCGGTAAAAGAATACAGCAAATTATAGAGAAGTAGGTAATCAAGATATTTTAAAAACATATCAACAAACTTCACATAGAGAAATGCGCTATGAAACCAAGAATGAGATCACAAAGCGACAAACAGCGTCATTTTATCGTCTAGCGGGGTAGGCTAATTTCCGCAACTTTAACACTGTAGTAAGCACTCGAGTTTTTTATCATTACTTTCACTATTTCAGCTTTTTTTCTTAAAAGCCATTGTTAACATTGTTTTTAGAGATTCGAGAATCATCGTCTGATTAGGCTGCGCTGTTTAGCGACGCTTCTTCTCGTCCAAGATGCGAAAAAATCGACTTTCAACCATTTAGAACCAACATTTAAAACTTTCTCACCTTACAAAAGAATTCCTTGTACGAAAGAGTTGTTTTTATAAAATTTAATTTTTTAAAACTATCTTTGATCAATAACAACAATTTTATTTTCAAAACAACAAGAATTTGGAGACAACAACAAATCAAAAAAATCCGCACACCCGAAACATTGAAACATTGAGAAGCTTGCGAGAGTTGAGCAAAAATTCAAACAACCAACAAAATTATGTGGTCAAGAAACGACAAAATACAACGCTGCAAAGAAATCTAGAAAACAACAAAGTGGGCTAAATAAAGAATACTCAAACAAGTTGAGAAATAATATCCATTATTGTCCAAGCAAGACAGGACTTGCCTGGCGAAAACATTTCACAAACCGCGGGCCTAAATAAAAAATGTTATTCAATCTTTCAATGAATATTAAATTTCCACTATCAGTTAAAATTTATTGTACACTTAATAACTCTACCCGGATAGCAGCTTCGACAGCATCAGCCTGCTCGTGCATCCCAAGTTGCCGATAGTAATCAACCCAAGCACGCGAGTAGTCGGGTTGTGACTGCTGAGATTGCTGCAGCATCTGCCGATGCTGGAATTGATCAGTCATCAATTGATTGCAGATTTGCTGTTGACATTGTATAGGCATCATTGGCAACATCTAAAATTTAAAATTTAGCTGTTTAGAGAGAACAAGACTTTATCCTGATAGTAAACGCGGTATAACAAAACATTTTAGGCTGCAATATAAAAATTTTACTTGAGAAGAGGCATTTGCAACTCCAGCGTTTTGCAATTGGATCGGCATCTGGTACTGATTCCACTGTTGTTGATGATGCATACCTAAAATCAATAGGGAATAATAATTTACCAAATGCAGTAAAACGCTACAAAACGACACCTTGTTGTGGCCAATATTGAAGCTGCTGTTCACCATATGCTTGCATAGGTTGTTGTGGGGAATAAGCTGACGTTTCACGCATTGGTGGCATTGGAGATCCAGGTAGAACATCACCAACCTAGAATTAAAGATGAGGATTTTAAAAGAAACAAATACCTACCTTTACAAGGATCAAATGTTTAGCATGATGTACTTGCTGGGGCGTTCCAGTTATACGAAAAGTGCGCGTATCATGTTGTGCATCATCCACGAGGCGGCAAAATGCTCCTGATTCTGCATTGATCTAAAGAAAAGCTTTAGTCTGGAAAAGAACAATCACAACAAACTTGTTTGATCGTTTCTCCCCCTTTCCAATTACAAATCCGGCTTTGTTGACGGGAATTTTCATGTAAAACGTCTCCTGTGGCTGACCATACCCTGCTCCTCGATAGCCTCCATCACTCGGTCCAACGTTTTCGGATCTTCCACCAAAGTTTGCGCTAGGCGCTTGAACAATGTCGGTGATGAGCTGAGTAGCCTAAAAGAATCTCTCTTTTAAATTTAATCTCTTTAATTATAAAAGCATACCTCCACAAGTGAATCCTTAGTTTTAGCCAAAATAACTGCAGTTCTCTCTTGTGCGGACATATCATCTGAATCACAGCTTTACAAAACGTTCGTCACCAGACAACAAACCATCCTTTTTGAATTGAATCTGGCAATTTGTGCGACGCCCAATGTTCTTAATGACTTCGCCACCTCGGCCGATGATTCGTCCGACTGCGATACGAGGCACGATAATCTAAAGTAAACACGTTATTCTAATCTCATAGCAGCCTTGAAGTTCGCTTCCTAAGCAATGCGTGAAATTTGATTGACACGTTTAGAATTTAAAATCCCAATATTTTCGTTTACACAATCTGACTGCACATTTACTACTAAACTGCTATTTATAAAACTTATTCGACCTCTCCTTGTATAGTTTCTCCACTAAATGATGTGCGAGTTTCGTTCATCGCCGAATTTGAGTGGGATGCGCTCGTGTAGACAGCTGCTACGCCTTCAATCGTTCTAGCCACCAATGCCTTTGCCTTCTCCACCTAAACAAACTTCTTTATAACCATCTTTAACTATTCTTTTCGCCTTAAAACCAACTCCAGAATCTCTTCATTAATAAATATCTCCTGATTCGTTACTTACCCACTGGCATATAAAACTTTGAACACGTACAAGTTCTACAACATTATATCCTCACCGCTTCTTTTGTTCCAGTAATCGTCAAGTGCTTTGATTCGCCCGTAACACAGGTAGTGGCTTGATTAATTCGCATTTCAGCCCCACTTTGACTCTAAATCAAAATGTGCAAAAGAGAATAAACAAAGCTAACCTTCAACGAGATAATCGTAGCGCCCTTTGGCCCAATGAGTAGTCCCACTTTAGTTGGAGGGATCATGATATGTTCGGTGACATGCTCCTCAGCATTCCCATGCGAGCGATTCATCAGCTAAAAATAATAATCAAAACGAGTATAATAACGTAAACAAGTACTAAGGCTTGCTTTGATAGACGCCAGCTTTTACAAAAGCTACCTCTTGAATACGTCGTTGAGCCAGTAAGACGTGCTCGGGGAGTCCAGAAATTGTGCACTGCTGTTCATTTGGCGAGTCGGCACAAACAGTCTTATCGATTTGAATCCGAGTATGTGTTGCACTTTGCAGTTGCGAGATTCTTTCTCCGTGAGCTCCAATAAGCATCGGCACGGCTTCACTTTGCACACGAAGAGTCGATGTGATTGGCGTATTGCCATCAGTGGCCACCTCTGCAGGAACCATCATGGGAACGGTAGTTGCACCAGCATCACTTCCACCCAGAGCCGTGCGCTTTAATGGAGCTAAAATGAAACTAGTAATTACATAATCTTTTTGACATGGTTAAATACAGAATTAATAACCCGTGATAAACTTTCCAAGAAGCTACCATAGAGATACGCAATATTTACTCAAATCCATTTTAATCAATTAAATCGAATCGAAATTTTAGTTTACTTTTGTTTGTGGTTTGAAAAATTATTTAATACCGCTACTATTAATCAAAAAAAGTGGGCACAAAAAGAATCGATCGACGGTGCTCTGTTGGAGGTTGGGGGAGTTTTTCGCCAAATGAGCTGATTTTTGCATCCCGGGATTTTTGGCTGTGATAGTTTCAGATAACATTTCGCAACTTTTAACAACACCCGAGATTACTTACAGATGAAAATAACGTCACTGGAAAAACCAGTTTCGAGCTATCAGAAAAGTTCTATCAAAGGCACAAGATGTTCTCGTTAGTAGCTTGTTGACATTTTGTTGTTGTTGTTGTTATTTTTGTTGCTATTTGTTATAAACGTTGTTAAAAGTTGCAAATGCCATTTGAAACCACCACCAAGCGATTCAGCATAGTCAAAAACCCCTGGGTGCAAAAAATCAGCTCATTTGGCGAAACAAAATTTGCTTCCCCCTCAACTACTCTAGTCCCGAATCGACTATTGACTGGATTGATCACATGTAAAGCCAACCCAGAAACAGACGTACACTCATTTCCGTCGTCGGCAACCCTCTTAGCATTCGCTTGAGCGTTGGCAGCGATATCCCTCGCCTTCTCGATGGATTTCTCAAGAGCTGCGTCGTCAAGCGCCATCTTTCCGCTAATGAGCCGATCTAAAGTAAAAAACTATGGTGAAATTAGATGACCGACACAACAAATGTTAAAAGATGAAAGTTAAAAACAAATGAAATCTATGAATTGAACTTTGCACCTTTCATGTGCCGCAAAATTTAAGCAGCCTTCACAAACACGGCAGATAATTGTCAAAAATATTGAGATTTTCAGCGCGGTCAACCAAATTCTAGAGCAACACTATGAGAAACGGTTAGCATTGATTAATTGATTCGCAATACTCGACCCAAACGCAAAAATTCAAGTCTTACTATGCCAAGAAACGATGATAAATCAGTAATAATGCGCTAAATATGGCTTTTTCATTTTATCCGACCAATTGAGAGACGCGTGAAGCAAAAAACAGGCGAGTAAATTGATTCGAAGACATTTCAGACGTTTTTTTAATACGATAGTCTGCGTCAAAAAGTTTAGTGCGCAATAGAAAGCGGCCGGAAAAGACGACGGTCAAGAGCAACTTTCAGCAAAGAATTTGATTCGACGCTAGCTACAACATTTCATTTTTAAAAGCTTGTTTGAATTTATTGCCTGCATTTTGCAACTTGTTCTTTCACTCATGCTTTGGACTCCCTTAATTGATCTCTTTGTAACAAGGAAAGAGCGGGGGAGAGTGGTTGTTTGAACTCGTTTCCGCTTCTCCCCACCTTGTGAATATTTGATCATCACCAAACAGCTTTCCCAAATCTCGCGGATCAGATTTCATTCACTAACCCACTCACAAGTGTTCCCTAACCGATAAATTGTACAACTTCCTTTTTTTGAGGTCACTCTGATGTCTAAATGTAGCCGAACAGAGAGAAGACACCATGCCGACAGTCTCGTCACTGGCTCGGCGAGCTCGAGTCGCGATGTATATTCCGGAAGTGACAACATGTCAGTGTCACAAAGATGAACCCCGCCGTGGACTGGGGAAATCCATGGGTTGAGTCAGGTGAGATATATGCAAAAGCATAAGATTCGTTTATCTTTGGGGAGTATTTTGTGTTTAGAGATGTCCTTTCCGGCATACACTAGACGTGGGAAAATTCCAAACCTAATTCCACCTTCGTTTTCTTGGCCGATTGCTCTGAAATTTTGCCTACAGATAGAAATCGACATTTTCAGCTTGTAGACAAAATTTCAGAGCAATCGGCCAAGAAACGGTCAGAGAAAAACGATAATGGAATTAGATTTGGCTTGGAATTTCTCCTAGTCTAGATTATGCTTGATTTTTCAACAATTGCTTCTTTAAGAGCAATGAAAGATTGAGTGCACCAGAAAGGGTGTGTTTATATATTTTTTTAAAGCAAGGCTCGTAGAACAACCCTAAAATAAAAAGATTTTTGCATCTTTGAGCACAAAATTCACCCCAAAGATAAAACCTTTTTGCTCGAAATTTTCCTATAGGGAAAACATCCAGTACTCGTTAATTCAATAATTTAATTCAATAATTTAGGCTCTCATGTCAAAATCTCTCCCTTTACGAGCATTCTGGTGGTTGGTGCTCACTCTATGCGTTGTTTGTGGAGTCACAACAACAACACTTGTCATTATCGAATACATCAAAGGGCCCACATCAACGTCGACAACGATTCGATTGGTGCTTAAAGATAACTAGAAGAGAAATCCATTGACTTTACGAAATGATTCCTACGAACAAAAACCTATAGTAGTACTTGCAATAAAACATCCGGGGCAGGTCTTACGGTTTAATTTAATTTAATCCCTCTTTTAGATTTAATCAATCTAAGACATTATAAAAATCTATAGAACACTTAACTTTTCAGGTCGATAGCCTCGAATTGCCCGGGATCACGATTTGCCCCAAAATCCCCGATATTTTCGATGAAGAGCCTCTATTCCGAGATCTCTCCTCAGCACTCCCAAATGTCTCATACAGAGTTCAACTTGATGTTTTTCGGTGAGTAACTTTATCGATAAATCCTTCATACAAATCCCTTTTCAGTTATTTCATTGCTGGAAACGGGTTAGAGAATATGGATGATGTAGCCAAATATAACCAATCATATCTCCAACAATTGGACGCATATTATCGAATTTGGTCACGCGGGTACACCACACAGGACTTCTTTTTTCTCATTCATGTGGGTTCTACTTGAAGATGAATTTGCAATTGGAGCTTTCAGGACAAGTACGGGTATAGTTGTGAACAATTTTTCTTCTCTTGCAATTTCGCTGGCAAAGCTTTGAACTGTTGCACTGAAGTCTTTGATAAAAAGGTATCGTTAAAATTGTAATTTTTACAATTTCAATAATTTCAGATTGTGATTAGACGGGGTGTTTGCTGGCAAACGAAACCAGGATTAAATCAGGTAAATAAATTTATCCTACGAAGTGTAAGAATGGCTCAAAAGCTCTAATATTCTTGCTAGAAGATTGATATTGAGCTGACAGTTTGTTTGATTTGATTTGATTGATCAATGAGCAATGATTTGATTTGATTGATTAATGATCAATGATTTGATTTGATTGATCAATGAGCAATGATTTGATTTAATTGATCAATGATCAATGATTTTATTTGATTTAATTGATCAATGAGCAATGATTTGATTTGATTCATCAATGATTGAGCAACGATGAGCTTTGATTCATTAAACTTCATCAAGCAAGCTGCAAAAGAATTAAATCTCTTCTTTACATTACTTTTCCAGCAACATTTCATTATCATCTTGATTTAAACTTTCAGAGTGAAGCCGACGATGTGGGACGATTAATTTTAAGCATGAGAGCGCTACGATCAATGACTTCACCCGAATATAACTATACACAGGTACAAACAAAAGTAAGACTTTTGAGTAGAATCCTGAACTTTTCTTCTTCGACTCTCTTCGAAGAATCTTCGACTTTTGGCTTTTATTTTGTAATTTTTGATTTACCAGCAACAATTTATCTCAATAAAGAAAATCACAAGATAGAAAAAACTTTCAAATGCCATTTAGAGAGTGTGTAAGTCAGAAAAAATACGTTAAACAATAGGATAAACTAGGCTAATCTCATACAAAAGACTTTTTTTAGTTGATTAGCTTTTTTAGTTGATTAGCTACTCGGCAAAATGGTTAGCTTTAAGACACGGTCTGTATGAAGAGCAACCAAAAACAAATTTAAATTAATGTAAAACAAAAGTGAAACACCAGTGAATCCGATTTTTATTTGAAGAAAGATGAAAATGGGTGCAGTTTGTTTTTAAGCAGTCCGTATCAGCAAAATAAACGATGACTGTTTAGTTACTAAGTGCAGCAGGGCTTAAATGCTGGCTGGCCGTTTTACCAACAATTAGGTATGATAGAAAATTTAAAAGAATCAAAGTTAGAGATCATTTCATCTCTTTGCTACGCCTGCAGATTTAGCGTTCGAAAGAACACCTTTAGCATTGGTTTATTCAATTGTTTTGTTAGTTGGAGTTATGTCTGCAGGCGTAGCAAAGAGATGAAATGAAATGCAAAGAATGAAATGAAAGAATGAAATGCAAAGAATGCAATGAATGCAGAATGCAATGAATGCAGAATGCAATGAAATGCAGAATGCAATGAAATGCAAGAATAAAAGCAAATGAAATGATTTTGTGGTATTTAAATGCATGTTTTCAAAATTTTCAAGCTAAAAACAGGACTAATAAAAATCAAAATAAAAGCCGCCAAAAGTTCAGGCTTCTATTCAATAGCCAAAAGTAATCTTTCACTTAACATACCAATTTTAGCCTCAACTACTCGTTTATATCACCGATAATCACGATTATGTTGTCGATTACCCCCGCTATTATCTCTATCCACAGCAGTGGAGTCGGATGCGTTTCACTGCCAGGTTTAAACGAGAAATTCACAATTTTATATCAATCTTTTTTTGCTTTAGATTCATGGAGCTGATTCAGAGCAAAGATGTCTGCATAAACAAGGTTCAATTGGTTTGGTTCGCTGAGTATTTTGAATTAAGTTTTTCTTCGTTTAAGCTCTTCGGGAAAGATGCGGAATGCGTGATTAGGCGATGGTTGGAAGCGAATATCATCATTCCATTCAATTGTACCCTTTCATATTTGAAAGGAGTCAGCAAATTGCCGAAAGATTTACAGGTACATTACATTACAATGAAATTACAATGAAGTTGAAATGAAGTTTTACAATGAAATTACGAAATGATTAAAGTTCAATTGGTTTTGAGAGTAATCCAAGTGATTCTTTGGGCATAAACAGAGTGATTCTTGAAAGGGAAACTTTAGATTAATAAAAGGAAGTAATAAAAGTGTACTAATAGACCAAGTGTATTAATAAAAAGAACTAATAAAAATGTACTAATAGATCAAGTGCACTAATAGACCAAGTGTATTAATAAAAAGAACCAAAAAGTGTCAACTTCTGCAAACTACCGTATTCTTCTTGAATTCTTCTAAAGATCCAAAGATTATAGTAGCTTTTGAAAGTTGTTAGACTTCAGAAAATGTTAAGATGAACACAGTCTACCTATTAGGGTGGTGCAAAAGAAACTGCCGATTTGACGGTAAATTAAAAAAAAGATGGCGTTCGATGGTGACATGATCACAATGGAATATTTTCGCAAGATCTCAAGCAGATTGGCATGGATCGGCCTGTATAACGGCCAGATCGGCCAGATCGACCTCAGCTTGGCTTCGTTCACGACTTCTGGCCTCGAACCGTGCTCGTAATCTTCCAAAGTCTCGTCTCCCTCTCGGAATCGTTGAAACCAAGTCTGACACTGCCTGAGAGACAAACTGCCATCTCCGAAAGCAGCACAGAGAGAACGATGCGATTCGGCAGCAGACTTGGTTCCTTTTCTCTACAAATTTGGTCCTCTTTTCTCTTTTGGTTCCTTGCGAGACAACGATGCGATTCGGCAGCAGACTTTCCAATTTTGAAGTTAAACAGTAATGCTGCACAAACTAGCACAAACTTTTGCTCGACCATGATCTAAATAAAAAATATAAGCATTTTAAAATAAAATAAACA